AGGGGGAGACTACTTTGATGGGGGACTTGAGGGGGGACAACTTGATGGAGACTTGAAGGGAGACTACTTTGATGGGGACTTGAAGGGAGACTACCCTTTTATGGGGACTTGAGGGGGGACTACTTTGATTGGGGGGCTTGAGCGAAGACTACTTTGATGGGGGACTTGAGCGGGGACTACTTTGATGGAGACTTGAGCGGAGACTACTTTGATTTGGGGGACTTGAGCGGGGACTACTTTGGATGGGGGACTTGAGGGGAGACTACTTTGATGGGGGACTTGAGGGGAGACTACTTTGATGGGGGACTTGAAAGGGGGACTACTTTGATGGGAGACTTGAAGGAAAACTACTTTTAAGGGGGACTTGAGGGGGGACTACTTTGATGGGGACTTAAAGGGAGACTACTTTGATGGGGGACTTGAGGGGAACTACTTTGAGGGGACTTGAGGGAGACTACTTTGATGGGGGACTTGAAAGGGAGACTACTTTGAGGGGGGACTTGAGGGGAGAAATACTTTGATGGGGGACTTGAGGGGGAGACTACTTTGATGGGGGACTTGAAGGGAGACTACTTTGAGGGGACTTGAGGGGACGACTTGATGGGGACTTGAGGGGAGACTACTTTGATGGGGACTTGAGGGAACTACTTTGATGGGGACTTGAAAGGAGAAATACTTTGATGCGGGACTTGAGGGAGACTAAATTTGAATGGGGACTTGAGGGGAGAAATACTTTGATGGGAGACTTGAAGGGAGACTACTTGATGGGGACTTGAGGGAGACTACTTGATGGGGGACTTGAAGGAGAACTACTTTGATGGGGGACTTGAGGGGGAGACTACTTTGATGGAGACTTGAAAGGGAGACTACTTTGATGGGAGACTTGAGCGAGACTAAATTTGATGGGGGACTTGAGGGGAGACTACTTGATGGGGGACTTGAGGGGAGACTACTTTGAGGGGGACTTGAGGGAGACTACTTGATGGGGACTTGAGGGGAGACTACTTTGGGTGGGGACTTGAAGGGAAATACTTTGATGGGGACTTTTAGGGGGGACTACTTTGATGGGGACTTGAGGGAGACTACTTTGAATGGGGGACTTGAGGGAGACTACTTGATGGGGGACTTGAAGGAGACTACTTTGATGGGGGAAATTTAGGGAGACTAATTTGATGGGACTTGAGGGGAGACTACTTGATGGGGACTTGAGCGGAGACTACTTTGATGGGGACTTGAGGGAGACTAAATTTGATGGGGGACTTGAGGGAGACTACTTTGATGGGGACTTTAG